TAATTTTTCATTTATCAAAATTAAATTGTGAACATTTAAAAATAACGTAATGAAAACATCTATGTATATGTTACCTATTCTGATTTACATTACAAGTAAAGCTGCCTGTAAAGTAAAACAAACTTTCAGTGCTTTAAAGCTTTCCTCATCACACAAGAGCAAAACCGATTCGTCGTCAATGCACAGCACAAAATACCCTGCAGACTATGAGTGCCGGCTGTGGGCAAGGTTTTGCAGCCGGTGATAATTTTACATGCTATGCGTGATATATGATATATACACATATCATGATGTCATATATATTATATATGTATGGTATACATGAATAGCTTTGGAAAAATATCAGTATGCAGTATAATTCAATATTCTTCCCATTAACTTGGCTGTTGGGATATTTAGTCCTTTCCCATATTTTCTTCTTAGGTCTTCAATGAGAAGAACCAGTTTTTCTGCTAACTACTTTGTCAAAAATCCTCTAGTTTATGGGTTTGTCCCCTAGATCTGTAATATTAAAATCTTTCTTTTCTCTGTATTGCTTGATCTTTTTCATTACAGAAAAGAAATTTCTTTCTATATCCTGTTGTGGGTTTACTTGTGTACCCCCAAGAAAGATACTTCAGAATGTGACCTTATTTGGAAATAATGTAATCAAATTACTATGACTGGTGTCTTTAAAGGGGACAAGGGACACAGAAACAGTGGCACACAGAGGGAAGACAACTGAAGACACACAGGAGAACACCCTATGAAGATGGAGGATTGGTGTGATGCATCAGCAAGCCAAGGAAAGCAAAGGATTGCCAGAAATCCTTGCCTTGCCAGGAGGCAAGGCAAGATTTCCCTGTAGGTTTCAGAGGGAGCATGACCCTAATGACATTTTGATTTCATACTTCTAGCCTCCAGAACTGTGAGACAATAATTTTGGTTACTTAAGCAATTCAGTTTGCAGTATTTTATTATGGCATCCCCAGAAAACTGATACATATTCCAAACCAAACTAGTTAGAAAAAAACAGAAACAAATAAAAGAAACTCCTTTTCTTTGCTTTTCTAAATTTATTTCTTTTAGTTGCCAGTTTCTTTCTTTCAAATCAGAGAATCGGAAACTAAATACATTGTCTGCATCATAGCTTATTCCAGTCTATTTTTCATACAGTACCTTAGAAAACAGCATACTGTGTAGATCAAGGATCCTAAAATTTTTTAAACAGGGGGCCAGTTCACTGTCCCTCACACCATTGGAGAGTGCACACTGTGGGCCAAGGACGAGCAGGCTGCTAAGCAGGACGGGCAGCGGCGGCAAAAACACCCGGAGGGCCAGATAAATGTACTAGGCGGCCCACATGTGGCCCGTGGGCCATAGTTTGAGGACGCCTGCTGTAGATAGCTTTTTCATTTTTAAGAAAGAAGTAGGAAGTAAAGGGCCACTTAGATAATAACTTCTCTCTGGTGGAAGTATTTTAAGTTTCACCACCAAATATTTTAATGCATAATTAAATATAAATTCATATCAATTTGGCCCCAAATAGTCTGTTTGGTTTGATAACCCAAATTATCCTTTTCCCTCACTGCCTTATTCCACCAGTCGTTAAGTACTTGCATGGTGATGGTTTCTTCAAAACTGCCTCCCCAAATCATCCTTACAATATACCTGGCTATTTCCTTAGTTCAAGACTTAATTGTCTCTTTACAGGCTCTTGATCATTTTTTCCAATTTTATCAGCCCTAATAAAGCTGAAAAAGCCATTTTTGTTCCAGAGATGGCAAATGCCATATATATATATATATATATATATATAAAACTACTATTATATCATTCTAGGTGTTTTACATACTCTAATTTACTTAATCAGGAATGAGAAAAGAGATTGCTTTAGAAAGATTAAATAAGAGATGTAAGTCATATATAAAAAGTGGTAGAGCTGCAATTCAAAGGTCTGTTACCCTCAAAGATATATAAAGTTTTCAGTATATGATAAAACTCTTTTTATTTTGGCTATTAGAAAAAAATTATGTTGATTGTCCGAGAGCACTTAAGTATTTTAGCTTCTTTTATTTCTTGTTGACACCTTGGTTTTTTATGATTTTTAAAATCATTACATACTGTTATATTCAAACTACTAAGAGACACTCAGTAACAAGAAAGAGACACTGTCTTAACTATGTTTTGTGATGCTATAACAGGATACTACAGACTGAGTCATTTATAAAACACAGAAATATATTGTCTCCCAGTTCTGGAGGCTGGGACGTCCAAGATCAAGGCATTGGTATCAGATGAGGGCCTTCTTGCTGTGTCCTCATATGGCAGGAGGGCAAGAGAGGATGAGCCTTGTGTCCTCATATGGCAGAACAACAAAAGAGGACAAACTCACTCCTGAAAGCCCTTTTTATAATGGCATTAATGCATTCAAAAGAATAGAGCTCTCATTTCCTGAATACCTCCAATTAGGCCCATTAAGCCCCACCTCCTAACACTGTTACACTGGGTATTTTTTTTTTTTTTTTGAGACAGAGTCTTACTCTTTTGCCCAGGCTAGAGTGCTGTGGCATCTGCCTACCTCACAGCAACCTCGAACTCCTGGGCTCAAGCAATCCTGCTTCAGCCTTCTGAGTAGCTGGGACTACAGGCATATGCCACCATGCCTGGCTAATTTTTTCTATATATTTTTAGTTGTCCAGCTAGTTTCTTTCAAGTTTAGTAGAGACGGGGTCTCACTTTGCTTAGGCTGGTCTTGAACTCCTGAACTCAAATGATCCACCTGCCTCAGCCTTCCAGACTGCTAGGATTACAGGCCTGAGCCACCATGCCTGGCCTGTTACACTGAGTGTTAGGTTTCCAACACATGAATTTTGGGGAACAGATTCAGACCACAGCAGTTTTCTAAATGCCTTGGCCAATCCAGCTCAATTTTTTTTTCAGTTTTATAATTTGGTGTAAGTTGCGGTGAATATGGCCTAAATTAAAATTTCAGATATCTTATAAGGGGTACCAAAAGCAATAAAATACACATCAAATAATTATAACCACACTTAAACTTGCACATCAACTGGTTATGTATATACTATTGGTATGCACAAACTAGAAAAGAATACAATTTAATTAATCTGATTTAAATTTCAGACAGTTTAAAGCAGAATAGAGATTTCATTTTAACTTTTTGTAAACCACTTTATTAAGGTATAGTTAAGCTACAAAAACGTTGCATATATATATATACAACTTGATGACTTTGGAGATAAATATATACTTTTGAAATCATTAGCACAGTCTATACTATACACCTATCCATCAGCTCCAAAAGTTTCTTCTCACCCTTATTTATGTATAATTATTTATTTGTGTGTGATAAGAACACAACAAAATATTTACCCTGTTAGCCAAATTTTAAGTATGCAATACACTATTGTTAACTATAGGTACTATGCTGTCCAGTAGACCTCTAGGACTTACTCATCTTGCACAACTAACACTTTGGACCTTTCATCTAAAACCTCCCTTTTTCCTCCTCCCCAAAGCCCTTAGCAACCACCATTATACTCTCTGCTTCTATGAGTTTGACTATTTTAGATTCTTCATGTAAGTAATATCCTATAGTACATGCCCTTCTGTGTCTGGCTTATTTTTCTTAGCATAATGTTGTCTAGGTTCATTCACATTGTCTCAAATGGCAGGATTTTCTTCTGTATAAGGGTGAATAATATTCCATTGTTTATACATAGCACAGTTTCATTATCCATTCATCCAACAGTGATGCATTCACATTGCTTCTAGGTCTTGGATACTGGTTATAATGCTGCAATAAATGTGGAAGTGCAGATACCTCTTCGAAATCCTGATTTTAAAAATTTCAGATACATACCCAGAAGTGGGAACACTGGATCATATGGTACTTCTATTTTAAATTTTTTGATGAATGTCCATACTTTTTTCCATAGTAGTGCCTACACCAATTTACATTTCCATCAACAGTATATAAGAGTCCTCTCATTTCAAGTTTTCTAATCCTGTAGCTACTATGTTGTGACAATGGCTATGAAACAGGGTGTCAGAATGGGTCTTTACATGTCTGTGTATGTATATTTATATATATGTTAATATACTTAACATAAAGAATTTGATGCTGTACAGTTACCCTCAGTCCCCTAGAGGATGGGTCCCAGAAGAATGAGCACAGCATTTGTCATTTCAAACAGGGAAACTTTTGAGAAGGGAGTGGGAGGCACCATTAACCATGATGCTGAGACAACAGGCACAATTGGGGACTTTTGCTGGTAAAACCAGGTCATATTGTCATGCACGATATACAAAGAAATTGCTAGCAATAAGTTAAAGAAAGGTAGAACTGACAAGAGTATTTAAAAATATATTTTGTTTGTCGAGCAGTGGCAAGGGATTACATAGAATCGTAATAAATATGACATCATATTGGTCAGTGGGGACCTTATTCAGGTATGTTTATAAAAACCCACATTTTTCCTTGACAAATGTTTCTCACAACTGAGTACATCAAAATACACTACCACCTTCTACCTAACAAATCTTACCACATCATTTCCATAGGGAAGGGGTGTATTTCTGTTGATAGTCACCAGTAAGTCAGAAAAACAATGTTATCAGTCTTCCTTGTGCTTTGGTTTCTTAAGATAGGTAAAAAAAATGAACCAGGTTTTTAATCTTTATTTTTTTCTATTTCAAACAGTAGCATAATTGTTAACTATTAGCCATCAATAATTTTACTTTAGGGAGCGATATTCATTTTGGACTGTCATTTCTAAATCAATCCGGGTATCACTTTCATAAAAAATTGTCCAAAAATACAGCAACAAAAATGCCATAGTCTCTCTTTTAGTCCTTAGGGCCATTACCAGCTTCAATTGTTTCATCTTCGTCTTTATATAACAATTAAAGTTTTGAATTCTACCAATAGTCAAGCTTTCTAAATAAGTACCAACTGTAACATAATTTGCCATTGATAAAAGAATAATATATAATGATACCTTTCAAGTGAGGGCTGTGTACGTGCATTCTTTGTAGATGTAGATTTATTGGAACGAATTCCAATGTTTTCTCTCCTTTGCTGCTGCTGGATTTGAAAGAGGACCCTAAAAAAAAAAGATTGAACATTATTAGCAAAAAAGCTAATTGTGTATTTGTTGAAAGATATATTTGACAAAAAAGTTACAAGAATTTCAGAAAGAAAAACATATCCTGTATTTATAAGCTGCTTTTCCTCTCAGAAATCAATTTAAAAATTATATCAATTATTCTTACAATAATACCATGTGATTGACTAAGGCAGTTTTTCCCCTTGTTTTAATATATTAGAGTGAGAAATAAAGAGTTTTTTTTTTTTAATTTTGGCTCTCCTATCTCCATAAAATAATGTTTATTGTCATTTTCACATTACATGCATGAAATGCAATTTAGTTTGAGTGAGTAAAGTTGTTTTTCTCACCTGTTTCCTTGCTAAGTTCTGTCAGAATATCTTGGTACATATTCACCATTTGATCACAGTGAGTAAGGACATTTTTTCGTAGATTGTCCCAGTGAGGAGAAAGTTCACCAAGTTCTTTTAGCTCCTGGTTTCTGTTAAGAATGTAAAAGAAAAGAAACTATTTATATCTTAAATCCATAGATGCAGAATCCTTAATCAAGGTTGCCAAATTAATAAAAAATTGTTTCATCATCCTTCCCAGGAAAGCTTTATAAGATTATTAGGTTAAAATGAAAAAAAAAATATTAACACAAAAGACAAATACCAGTATTTATACCACACAATGAAAAACCATCATGTCAATGGGCAGAAAAAAAAAAAAAGATTAAATTCCCTGATATAATATTCACAAAGATGGCAGACTTAGCCTTAATATTCAGAGAAGACATTGAGTTAAAAAGCAAATACTAAAACCCCAAGGAAAAAATGGTTAAGTTCTAGGCTTCAGCTATCCAAAATCAAAAAACGTGAGAAGGGCTATCTGACTGTGTCTGATGGAAACAAGAGATTCTCAGGTAACTCAATTTATATATATTAAAGCTGCAATTAAAAAAAAAAAAAACCTAAAGCCTAAATACTAAATAAAGGATATTGTCAGATATGGTTATATTGGTTGTAGTTTCTTCCCTCAAGAGGACAATTTAAGTAAATACTGTATGTATATGTGCTGTCCTCTCTTTATCAAAAGGACAAGCTAATCATGCCATTTAGGTTTTAATTATTACATTTTACCTAAATCTCTACCCTTTAGCCACCTTAATTTAAACCATCAGAATGCCTTTTTAAAATTATAGTGATAAATGGTCCAATATGCTGCTTGGTTAGATCTCTTATTCATTTCTGTAACCTTTTACCAACAACATTTTCATGAGGCTAATTTAACCAGTAATAATGAAGCTTCTTTGCTATTTTGGCAGTGAAACATGCTAAATACCAAGCTAATAAATTCAGAAGATGTAGAATCTTTAACATTCTATTAAAATTCAAGAATAATGAATGGTGTGCAAAAATGTGACTTGTTTTCAAATGTTTGTAGCTGCTTTTGTTTTGCTTCAATAGGAATGCAATGTAGTATTGGTATATCTGATATCTTTAAAATTTTTGTGAACATTAATCTCATTAATTTTTCCAAAACTTAGCTTTCATGACACAACATTCATGGGAGAAAAAGTAATTAAGCAGTAGACAATGAGAGTAAAACAAGTTAATGACCAAAAGGGAGAGAGAGGGAAGGCTGAAGAATTGAGGAGTCGAATTCTCTGCACTCAAAAGGCAGGACATTCAAATTTTGAGAAAAAAAGCAACAACCACTAAAGAAAACAATTTCAAAAGCTCGATCAATCCAGGTCTAGAAGAACCTGGGCAATTAGGTCAAATTTGAGTTAGATAACAATTACGATAGGTCAACTTAGTATGTAAAGTCTCAGGATTTTCTTAGACAGTTATAATGAAAATACTAGCTAAGTATTCCTGTTTAATACTAATGGATGCACTACAGGTTTACAATGTATATTGTCTCTAAATCTTTATCAGAAAGAATAATTTAAAGAGGGATGGTAAGGGAAGAGAGGAAGAGTGACAGTGAAGCCCCTGACTACACCGTGGGATACTGGGGTGATGTTAAGCTCCTTGCCTAAGAGAAGTTTGGCAAAATGTGGTCGGAAAGTTTAGCATTCTGAGAGAGCCAAGATGGCCTATTAGAGACATCGCTTGTTGGACCATCCCTGCTAGAAGGTAGAATATTGGGCTGAGGAAAGCAGAGTGGAGTTGTAGCTCAGGTGTGGATCACAGAGAAAGACAACAGAGACATCGGGGGACCCCATGGAGGAAAACTGTGAAGCTGAGAAAGAAGAAGACAGAGATAGCAGTGCAGATCAAATCCACAGAGGCTCAGAGCCCAGTGAAAAGGTAAGGGCTGCCCCATGTAGGTGCCTTCAGTGAACAGTGAGACACAAAGTATACTGAAGGTGCCTCCACCCTCTCCACAAGCCCAGCCACAGCAGCTAAACAGGAATAGTGGAGTGAACCAGTGAACTCTTGGAGTTTGGGTGTCCATAAGGGACACCCTGCAGGAGATGCCTTGAGAGACCAAAGTGCTGGTTTTCTTACACAAAGACAATTTTTCCTCTGCACCTCCCTGTTCACAGCAACAGAGAAAATAATTTGAGCTCCAGCTGACTGGTAGCCATAGCCACTCCTCCTCCATTGGAAAGAATGTGGATGTGGCTAATGAATGCATAGTACATTGATGGTTTGAGAAGTTCCATTCTGGTAATATTAATCTTGAAAATGAGCCATGTGGGTGACTTGATACCAAGAGTGGATAATGATGAGCTGGAAGCTGTAGTGGAAGTGAATCCATCTCAAGGTACACATGAGCTAGCAGCAAGGTTTGACGTTACTATTACAACAATATTGGACCATTTGAAACAAATGGGCAAGGCAAAGAAGCTGGATAGATGAGTTCTGCATAAATTAAAGGAGCATCAGAAGAGAAATCATTGTGAAGCTTGACTTTCTTTGCTGTCATGACATAAAGGTGAACCATTTCTACACCGTATTGTTACATGTGATGAAAAATGGATTCTTTTTGACAATCCCAAGTGTTTGGCACAATGGTTAGATAAAGATGAGGTGCTAAAACACAGTCCAAAACCAAATATTCATCAAAAATAGCAAATGGTGTCTGTTTGGTGGTCCAGTGCTGCTATCATCCACTACAGCTTCATGAAACCTGGTCGGTTGATTACATCAGATGTCTACTGCAACCAATTGGGTGAAATGATGCTGGTGATTAGGCAGCTGAGATTGGTCAACAGAGATGCACCAATCCTCTTCCAAGAGAATACTTGACCACATGTCACACAAACAATGCTGCTCACACTACAGCAGCTGGGCTTGGAAACTCTCTGTCAACTACTGTATTCAGAAGACCTTGCACCAAGTGACCACCACTTGTTCCAGACTTTGGATCACTTCTTTCAAGGAAAAATATTCAATATTCAACAAGCTGTGGAAAACACCTTTCACAATTTCATCGCCACTTGGTCTCCAGGCTTTATCGCTGCTGGCATGAACAAGCTGCCATTAAGATGGCAAAACTGTGTTGATAGTTTAGGCACATACTTTGATTAATTGTACTGCTTCTTGTTTGAGATATAATAAACTACACTTTTGATTCAAAATCAGACATTTTATATTTAATGACCTAATATAATCTGTCCTTCATGGGCATGGGTAGCCACTGGGGGAGCAATATTCCAGTGGTTATAGAACTTTCCTGGGTGCCCAAACTACTGTGGATTCTTCTGTGGTAGGTACCATGGGGGTGTGCTAAAGCCTGGTCTTCACCTTGAAGGAGGCCAATACAGCTAGTCATGTTCAGAGATAAAGTGACAATGGTGGCAATATCTGGGGCTCACCATTGAGCATGTGGTCAAAAAATGTGAAGACATACTTTGGTTGAGCCAGTATAGAAAAGCAAGTAAACTGGGCCCGGGACAGGCAACCCCTTGCCCAACTCAGATGCACTTGCACCATTTTCTGATATGCTGATAGCAAACAAAACAAGATCATTCATATATTCCCTAGGAGAAAGTTCAAGTACAGTCCTTCAAAGTGATGGGCAGTTGCAGTTCTCCAAAGACTTAAATAGAGGTAACAAAACAAGCTACTACACCCAATTCTTCAGCTAATCCTTGGGACCTTCATATCCATCATCAATCTCCTATACCACTCATTCCAGATTTTCCCCATATTCTACCTGCACTTCAGTTGGTTTGAATTGCTGCCCAATGGGCTGTTAAAGACCTTAATCCTGAAGGATTAAGTCCTTAGTTTCCCTGCTCTTATAGTATCTTGGTTGCTGTAATTTCCCATTCACACCTGGGCACAAAGCACCTCTAAGTACCAGACATATTTTTCTTACTCAGATTTTATAGCAGCAGCCCTGCCTCTATCACTACACTACAGTAGAGTGTAGGAGTATCTTACTATCTCTTCTGGTTCATAGTCATGAGGAACATATAGTAACCAGAGCACATGTGGAATCAATCACTGCTTCCAGTTAAGTGGAATTCTAACTGGGTCCCCTGGCAGAATACCCCTCCCTCTACCCTCTGCCTCCACCACAAGAACCAGGATTCTAACTGGTAAAGTATAACATTGTAGGGAAAGGAAGTGCAAATATCATAAATGGGTCACTGCTATTGATTATAAGAAGGCCTCGCCTTTATTCCCAGAACTGTGCATTCTAGTTATAATGAAAATAGCATTCTGTTAATATATCAGCTGCTAGTTTAGCATATATGCTTCATCCTATAGGTCAGTATCCCAATTCTAAGATTTTTTTTCCCATGCTGGTACCTCGGCTGAGATTTTCATTATTAATATTATTCCATTTTTTAATCAGGTCTTTTCCTTTTGGGTGATGGAGCATGCAGTGATTGTAAGCTCATTGCTGCACCTTTTTTGATATAGCAGCAAATGTTCCTTAGGAGAAGCAATACGACGTGGGGTACCGTACCGTTGGACTAGAGAATTCTATAAGCTATCAGACGTAGGTGCCAGCAATGGCACTGTGAGAGGAAAGGAAAATGCACATCCAGACTATCTTTCACCCATGTAGGACAAATGGCATAAATGCATTTCTAGTTATTTCAGAGAAAAACAGTTTTTAAAATACACCTTTCCAATTTATAAACATTCTTATTTTACTCCCAGTAACAACAGCTTCTATTTTCAAAAACTCTTTCAATCACTAATTTGTAACAAAAAATAATTCTTCCTGCAAAACCCACCCTTCTGCTAAACACATACAATCTCATAAATTCACTGCTTTATTCTCACTACAGTTCTACCTCTAAAACAAATCTTTTAGCCTGTCTCCAACTCCTCCCAATTCTCTAAGAGTCCACAGGTAGATGCGAGAAGTTAGGAAGAAAAGACTTACTACTGAAATATTAATAAGGTTAGGCCTCTTAACACATTAAACACTTTTTGTCATATATTGCCATCTGTCCCATTTCCCTTTGCTACCTACAAAAAAAATAAAAAATAAAAGGCAAATCATATAAAATAAATCTCTAAAGGA